CTTCAATACGGTAGGTTCGCATCATCTCGACTGGCGGCGACCCCGCCGCCGGCGTTCCGCCGGCGTTCAACGTTGATCGCCGGCGGCGGCCCAGAGTCGGTCGATGTTGAACGATCTGACGTTTCGGTCCACGGCCGATCGTTCAAGGTTGAACGATCCCCGCGGTGTCAGGAAGCAGCGCCGAAGTCGGCACGACACGAACCTGCCCTACGTCACCTGGTACCCCTTGGGCCGCGCACGCGCCTCCAGCCATGATCTGCGACCCCCCCCCTCTCGGGCGCCCCCCTCCTTGGGCACCCCGATCTTGGGGACAACCAGTGGACCTTCCTCTCGAGGCGCCGTGGCCCAGTGGTCTCGAGCAGGCCTCCGTCCTCCAGGGGGCAGGGGGGCCGCCCGCCCGGAGCAGGCACGGTCTGCACCCCCGCGGGCTCGGGAGTCCCGTGGCCCGCGTCTCGGAGCACCGACCTAAAGCAGCACGACGCAGGAGGCTTGGGGAGGGAGGGGTTGAAGAGGTCCGAGGGGGGAGCGCTCCCCACTCCCCCGCTTCCTTCTGTCCTGTCCAGCCTCTTGTTCCCTGGCCCTCCCCCTCCCCCTCGCGCTTCCTCCCTTCCTTCCCCTCCAGTCGTCTGCTCCTTACCTCCGCCTTGCCTCCATCCCCCTCTCGCCCTCCGCTGCCTCCTCTCTCTCACTCGCTCTCTATATATCTTCCTCTCTCTCGCGCTCTCTCTCTCTCTTTCTCTCTCTTCCCTTCCCCCTCTCTCTCTCTCTCCCCTTCCTCTCTCTCTCTCTCTCGTTCGCGCTCTCTCGCGCTTTTTTTGTTTTGTTCTCTCTCTCTCTCTCTCTCTCCCTCTCTCTCCCCCCTTCCCCCTCTAACCTCCAGTCGCTGTCATAAATGGGTGGCCGAAGAAGGGGTGTCACAGGCAGGACCGGCGCCGCCGCCCTGGTGAGCTGGGCCTCCTCCCCTTGGCTACCCACCCCCACCTTCTCCCCCTGGCCTTCGCATCCTCTCCCTCCTCCCCAAGCCCCTCGTCCTCGCCCTTGCCCCATGCCCCGCTCCCCCTCGCCTCGCATCCTCTCCCCCTTCCCGTCTCCTCCAACATTTGTCCCTCGTCCACGTCCCCGCTTCCCCCCCCTCTCCCCTCCGCTCCTCCCCCGATCTCTCTTCCTTCCTTTAAGTCGGGAGTGTCCCTCTACATAAGGAAAATTCGAGAATAGGGAACAGAGTCTGGTGACGTTTGTTCGTGCTCTTTTGACTATGTTTGTTGATTGTTCGGCTGTTCTTTTTCTTTCACGATCTGCCTGTAGGAGGAGATGTCCGACCTAACCCTACCCCTCAGTGTCCTCGGTCTCGGCCCAGTGCTCGGCTTCCTCTTCGATGGGGCTTCCAATGATACAGCTTGGGATCCCTTCTCACATCTTTCGTCTCAGTAGTCCGAATTCGCATTATTTTTCCAATGCTGACAGTGCGCCCGTGTGCTCCCGCCGCTCCCGCGTGTTGCTTTCCCTCAAGCAGGGAGGTTCACACGTTCATATTTTAAGGATGTCTAAACGGCTTGTGCCCGGAACTCACAGAAGGTGCTCTAGCTACAGTGCTCGCCACGTTCCAGGATCGGAGATCGGTGGTGTGCTTTCGTCATTCTGACTGGTGCTTTTCACCGCCCACCCAACCACCCCAACCCAACCCGAAGGCCCCGATTTGCTTTCGTGGGGGGGGGCGGGGAACATTGAAAAAGCGAAGCATATGAAGCCCGTACCCCCCCCCAACCCGAAATTCGGGCGAAATTCGGGTCTTCTGGTTGGGCTGCGGTGTTTTGGTAGGTCGTCGGTTCTTGCCGCGCGCAGTATTTCTGGATCCGATTCCTTCCTCGTGGTTGCCGTCCCGCTCCGTGGTTGCCGTCCCGCTCCTCGTGGTTGCCGTCCCGCCTTCCCCTTACCCTCCTGTTCCTCTTGCTCTTCCTGCACCTCCTCCACCTCTCGAGTAGGGGATCGACTGCAGAATTGATTTACCCCAGACTTGATTTTCTCGTCGAGGTTACGGAACATACGTATGATGTTCGTAGATTTCAGTCGGGCATGTCTTTCTACAGGGGATATTCCCAAATAGTCAAAAACTCCTCTGGGGGTGATTTCTCAAAAAATATGTTTGACCATTTGAGAGTCTTTTTCTAGTATCTTTCATTTTGTTGTCCAAAATCCCTATGCAGGAGGACATGCCCGATCTAATCGTAGATGCACGGGACATGCTACGTATTTTGTCGTAGATTCGACGAGCACCTCAATTTTGGGGTAAATCAGTTTTGTAGTCGATCCCCTACTCGAACCACCACCTCCCTCCTCCATCCGTCCCCTCTTCCTCCAACGTACAACAAATAACGGATCAAATCCTGCAATGGCCATTTAGGGGTCAATTCCTTCTAGGACGCCCTGGTTGGCATGTAGAAAGAAGTCCACGCATTTGGGGGGGAGGACTGCTCTGGCCGAAGCCCGCTCCGGCAGAACTGCTCCGGGAGAGACCGCGCTGGCAGAAGCTCGCTCCGGCAGAAGCCCGCTCGGGCAGAGGCCCGCTTCGGCAGAAGCCCGCTCCGGCAGAAGCCCGCTCCTGCAGGAGCCCGCTTCGGCAGAAGTCCGCTCCGGTCGAAGCCTGCCTCGGCAGAAGCGTTACCTCTTGCGTCGGGTCTCCCTCCTGCTACTCTTCCACATTCCTGACGCTGCCTCTCCTTCTCCTCCTCCCGCCCTCCCTCATCCCTCGTCTCTGCGACTTACCCTCATGCCTCGTCGTTCCCTCCTTCAACTCTCATCCCTCTCTCCCTCCTCATCGCTGCCTTCTCATCCCTCATCCCGCCCTCCGTCATGCTTCATTCTTGTCCCCGTCATACCTCCCTCCCTCATGCTCGTACTGTCTCCCTCATGCTTTCCATTCTGCATCCTCCCTCACCCAACTTACGCTGTTCAACCCTCCGCGCCGCCTGAGCTTCCTCGACCGTGTCATCCCCGTATCCCGCACCACTTCGGCTCTGGCGCCCTCGTTAAGACATCGACTTCATGGCTCGCCGCTCCTTCGCTTTCCAATCGAGTTGGACACGCCGACGGCATGGCGGCCATGTTTCCGTTCGGTGTCCCAGCTGCGCAGCCCGTCCCAGCTGCTCCTCTCCTTCCTCCTGGCGGGAGGGCTTCCGCTTCCTCCTTGTGGTGTTGGTGCGTGGCTCCCGACGGTGCAGGCGGAGGGCTCGTGTCAGCCGTTGTGCCGCCCGTCGTTTCTCCGCCACCAGCCACCAGTCCGCCCTGAAGCGACGGCTCGCAACCGAGCACCGCTTCCTGGAGGCCTGTGGGGCGGCTCGAAGTGCATGCGCAACAGAGCTGGTGGGAACAGGCTGGCTCACCAGGGGCACTTGTGCACGTTGCGGCACGTAGCTCGTGACGGCTCACGTAAGTGGTGCTCCAATCGTCAGCAGAAGCAGAGAGAGGCTCGCGCGATCGAGTGCCCGGGTGGGGTGAGGACTCGACTGGAGGGCGTGCGCGTCGTCGAAGCGTCGCGTCGTTGCATTACTCCTCCCCAGCCTCCGTTTCCAACACGGACTCCATTACTCCACAGCCTCCGTCTCAAAGACGGCCCTCTCAGGAATTGTATTGAGACCCGAACCCGCATGCCGCCCGCCGCCGCCGCCCGCCCGCCCCGCATGCCCCGCCCGCCTCTCCAACGTCGCACGCGGTACTCCGCAGCCTCCATCTCCAAGACAACACCCTGCACTCCGCTCCGTCTCTAAAACACAGCATCTTCCGTCTTCCACGCAACACCCAGTGCTCCACAGCCTGTTTCCAACGCACCCCAGTGCTCCACAGCCTCCGTCTTCCAGACGGCTTCCGTAGAGAAGTTGCATCTGAACCCGAGCCCGCCCGCCCGCCGCCGCCGCCCGCCCCGCCCGCCTCCCAAACGCCTTCCGCAGTAGTTCGCAGCCTTTCTTCTACTATACGCCCTCCGTTGCCAGCGCGCGCACGTACAGTATTCCACAGCCTCCGTCTCCCGCGCCCACACCCAGCACTCCACTGCGTCCGTCTCCTCGCCGAAAACCAGACGACACCACCCCACCTACGGCCCTCCATGCTGCGTTACGGCTCATCGGGCGCCGTAGCGTATGCCGCGCAAGGGCCCACACCACATTTCATGGTATACGCTAAGGCCCCTGGTGCCGTAGGTGGGGTGGTGTCCTCTGTTTCCTGGCCCATCTCCAACACGCACGCACCCCAGTGCTCCACAGCCTCCGTGTCCAAGGCGGCTTCCTCGGGAGCTGTATTTCAGACCCGAGCCCGCCCGCCGCGGCCGCCGCGGTCGCCCGCGGCCGCCCGCCCCGCCCGCTCCGTTCGCTGCTCCAACGCCACGCCCACTGCTTCGCAGCCTCCG